AAAACAAAGGCATAAAAAACAAAGAACATCAATCTCTTTCTCAGCCTCATGCATCTCCGTTATGGTGTTCACCTCAAATTAAAGAACAAGATTTAGTTTGTCTGGGATAACTATCTGCAGAAGAAACATCTCAGAAACATGTGCCATCCCTCACTTTTAGACATTCGCCTGAATGAAACCAAGCTACTCAGCAAACTCTGAAGTAGAATCCCTTTGTGAAACCTTTAAAGAGAGCACCAAAACTCACCCCTATACAGTGGTGCCCTGCTTGACGACAATAATGCGTTCCAGCAAAATCGCTGTACAGCGAAATCATCGTCAAGCGGAAAAAAACCCATTGGAATGCATTGAAAACCGGTCAGTGCGTTCCAATGGGGGAAATACCTGCTCATCCAGCAAAAATCCTCCATAGGCGGCCATTTTGCGATGCCTGTGTAGCGAAAATAGGTCTGGAAAACAGCGGGGAGCCATTTTGCAAACCGCCAATCAGCTGTTTTTAATCATCTAGTGAATAATTGGTTTGCGAAGCAGGGTCCAAATCGTGAAACAAAAAACCCCATTGAAACCATCATTTTGCAATCGCAAAAATATAGTGATTGCAAAAAATTCGTTAAGCGATTTCGTCGTCAAGTGAGGTCATCGTCAAGCAGGGCACCACTGTACCGAAGTTGATATTGCCAATCATAGGTATAAGAAACGTCTCAGGGCAGGGGAGTAATCAATGCCGAAGCCAATATGTCCTTCTCCATACTACTTTGGTGCCACGGCTCCTTTGTATCTAGACCCTGTATGGCACTTTCCACCACCTTGTTTCAAATACCACAGGGTGCAGAGGGAGAAGCAAGTCAGCACTCTCCAGTGTCACCTGTATGCTATGTCAGTTATTTATGCTCATTGGTATAGAACATGCAGAGATTCAGCATCACAATCGCCAGAGCCTCGAAACTGTGACGGTCACTAGAGCAGTCAAAATCAAATGCAGTGGATACACTGAGTCTATTGTAAGTGAATAAATTGAATATATTGAATCCATGCAAAATATATGAAGGTATGGGTTACAACTTCATAAGACAGAGAGATAGTTAATACTTTGTAGAGTGCAATGATACTTGTCTAAAAATGTCTAAGACCATTTAAAATGACTTTTAGCATATAGCAGTACAAAAATGAATATGATACATCTGAGAGTCAATGATAAATCTCTGAGATTAAACCTCTTGTTAAACTACAGCATATTGAAAAAGTAACCTTAACTTTCTCATAAAATCATGTTTCAGAAAGATATTAAGATACAAAATCAACAACAGACACCCTTCTAAGATCAGTAAATTGAATACCCAGCTCGCATAATTGCTGCATAATTAAATTATAAACTGCCTAGGCAGTGCTTTGATCACTATAAGGCAATATATAAGCAGCACACTTCATGTACTTGTTTGCATTAACATCTGTCTATAAGCAGGAAAAATAACAATTCATACATCATCACCTTCACTTGAAAGTGACTTAAATGTATATATCATTTGTCCACTACATATATTTTAACAATAGGAATGAGATGTGTTAATTGTATTGAGCATTATTACATCTTTTTCCCCATTAATGTTTATTATAAATCAAATATAAATCAAACATATATCACTTCAAGCAAAATGCAATACAGTGGTGCCTCGCACAACGAGTGCCTCACACAACAATAAATTCACACAACAATGGCTTTTTCTGAAAAATTTGCCGCCTCACACAACGATGTTTCCTATGGGGAATTTTCGCACAACGATGTCTCTTTTCACTCATTTAAAAGTGCCTCAAACCATTTGAAACCTGTTTTAAATGCTTGGCATTGATAGTCCAGCTTGTGAAACGTATGCAAACTTAATTTGGTGTTGTTCTGAGGCATCGTTAATTTTTGGTGAATTTTTTTCTCTCTCATTGAGAAGCATTGGACGGACAGGAGCGAAAACGGACATCGGAATGCCATTCAGATGCATTGAGTCGGCTTCAATGCATTTGAATGGGGGATATATTGTTTCACACAACGATGTTTCCTATGGGGATTTTCGCTCAAGGACGGCAATCCGTTCCAATTGGAACTGATTAACCGGTTTTCAATGCCTTCCTATGGGAAATGGTGTTTCACAGAATGATGTTTTCACAGAACGGGTTTTTTTTTTTTGAACCAATTAACATTGTTGTGCGAGGCACCACTGTACAAGAAGTACCTATTAATCTCTTGGACTATGTGTGCCCCTCTGCCAATATTTCACTGTCCCGAAAAAGGATGGTGGTTTGAGACCAATTCTAATTGTGGGATGTAAACTTTACCTAATCTGTACAGACTAAGAAATGCAGAATGGTGATGCTAGCAGTGATACTACCAGTCCTCAAAAAAGGGAACTGATTTTATGCAATAGACTTAAAGGATGCTTACTCTCACGTTATGATAATTCCAGAACATTGTTGTTTTCTGTGCTTTGTTATGGGCACCACAATACTCAAATTCAAAATGCTCCCTTTTAGTCTCTCTATAGCATCCCACGTTTTCACAAAGTGAGTGACCCCAATTGCAATGTACCCTTCAGAGTCTATGGCATAATTCTGTTTCCATATATAAACAATTGGTTAATCGTGACAGATTCAAAGAAAAGGCACAAAAACTGTCTCCTTCACATTGCAACTGCTATTGGACCTTGGCCTTCAGATAAACATTTTTAAAAGTCACATTTGACATAAAGCAGAATAATTCGATACATTGAAGTGATCCTAGACTCGAAATCATGAGAGCATACCTACCTCATGATAAAATGCACAAGATAATCAAGTTGGCTCAGGTTCAAGATGAATGTGTCAGAAATGGGATACATGGTGCAAAGGCTGTTGGGCCTTTGATGAATTAAACCTATTAAGCATCAGAAGGGATACCAAAGTTGAGTACAATAACAAATTGAGAACAAGAACAAGGAGGTTGGGTACAAAAGTCATCAGTAGATTCAATACCATCAACTTTCAGATGACCTAAACAACCACAATCACAGGAACATTAGAGAATGAGGACTCCTACTGCAAAGCACTGCAGGCATCATAACTTTTATTTTCATTGTGCAGATCCTAACTTTTATTTTCATTGTGCAGATCCTTCCTACAAAACCAATTCAAGCCATTTGGATATAAACAAAAAGCTACAGACCCTGCCCAATGGCATCTTTTTACTATTCTCTGTACTATCTGGAACTTGTCCTAACCATATGTTGGGAGAGGAATTAAGTCATATACAGATCATTGGGTTCCACTGTGTACAGTGGACATGTCACAGAGTTCATTTAACTGCTACTTTAGAATGCATACAAGGAAACTCAACCAACACTGCCTTCAGAAGCAGACATTTTTACTCTGCTGAAGAAAGGTATGATATAATCTGTTTGTCAAAAAAGCATTGCCACAGAATTCTACTTGAGGTACTTTATTGTCAACAGTTCATATCTTCAGATATGTCCATTATTTCATATGACCGCGATTTAGGCTCTTGTTTCTTTTGAGGAGAGGATTTAAAAGATGCATATTTCTGCAAATTATCTTCAGATATGTCCATTATTTCATATGACTGTGATTTAGGCTCTTATCTCTTTTGAGGAGAATGGTTCACAACAATAGATTTAAAAGATGCATATTTCTGCAAATTCATCAGACAAGGCCACAGAAAATATGTTTTGTTTTTGAATTGAATTGTAATTGAACATTGCTACTACCGGTCTTGAATTGTCTTATTCAGTCTATCCACAATAACACAAGAATTCACCAAATGAATAATGCTTGTAGCAGCCCACCTTCATACCTTGTGGGTGGTTGTAATTGGTTAGTGGTTGTTTACTTAGAACCCTCAGCTGATTAGGGTTGAAACTGAGAAAAAATAAATTTGAGCTAGTTCTGGCACAACACTTACTCTTCATAGGAACAATGTTCATTGCCAAAAGTGGGATGGCAAAGCAGTGTCTTGGGTCAAGCCCCAACACTACTTAAACATCTTCCTGGAAGCTAGAGAATTGTGTCAACCCATATAATTTCTCTAGGGAATCAAACACTGGATGATATTTCAGCCACATGAAATCCACAGCAAGTTGAATGCATTTTGGTGGCAGTTGCTCACATGTGAATAAGGCCAGAAAAAAACCAGAAAAATAGTGTTCTTCTTCTTGGAGCATTTTTTTTTTGTGGGAATCTTTTAAAATCTGTCTGGAACCCCATGAATGTTCCACAAAAGTAAAATTATATTTTAAAAAATAATATGCATTAATTTGGTATCACTGGGGGGAAATCAACATAGCTGGAGATTTCTAATATTAATTTAATCTTCCCCAGCCCAATGCTTCCAGACATCAAGTGTTTTTGAACTGCAGCATTCACCTTCCCTGATCTTTGGCCATGCTAGCTGGTGTTGAAAGGCATTGTAGCCTGGGAGATACCATATTGTACATCTATCCTGTGAATTACTGTGTTTATTCTTCTGATTTAGACATGCAAATCACTATGTGGTCATGCAGTCTTCTCTGTTGCAATTTATGCAGTGCTGTAAAACTGGAGCAGTCACCACGAATTGTAGTTTTAGAAGAGGTACTGTAGCTGTGTTAGTCTGTGTAAAGATATCAATCAAATACAAAAGAAAAATATAATATACAAAAGACAAAAAGGTTGTGGCACCTTAAAGGCTAACTGTTATATTTTAAGATGAGCTTTTGTGAGTCAAATCCACTTTCCAACTTTTGTCTACTAACCAACCAGCCACTGAATCTGTTTTGATGTCAGGAATAAACATATAAAAATTGCCATGTAATCTCACTCTACATTTCAGGAAGTGGATTTGATCCATGAAAGCACACATTAAAATGTAACAGTTTTTAAAGTGCCTCAATATTTTTTCTTTAATTTATTTTTCTTTGTCTTTGCCTGATAACCATGAGTTGTGTAAATTCACCAGTATTCTGTTCTTCTCTTAAATCTCTCAGGGTCTTTGTCATCAGTGTTCGTCAGGCTCCCTTGTGGTGGTGTTGGTGTAAGTATTTCTCTCTCTCTCTCTCTCTCTCTCTCTCTCTCTCTCACACACACACACACACACACACACACACACACACACACACACACACTTTGTATGGTTTACTGGCTTGAATAATGTAAAATTCATTTATACTATAGGACTGCAAAGCAATGCAGTTTATTGTTGTTGGTCATATACTGTAATATATTTAAAATACTAAAGCTGGAATTCTAATCTGCATGATCACAAAAGGACAGTTACACACGCAGTGGTTTCTGTTTCCCAAGGTATCTAGTGTGGGCTTAGTCTTTTCCTGTTTTTCTAAATGGTTGCAGGACCCAGGATGTGCAAAAAGTGCTTTTGGGAGTACTTCTGATGCAGAAGACTCAGTAGGATTTTGGCCTAATCAATTAAACCACTAACAAACCACAGAGTAAATTGTGCTAGACAAGAAAACAGAAATATTGTGGCGATGATACTGGTGTGATATATGTTTGTTTGGGCCCAATCCTCTTTTAGGTCTATATCTTATGGCTTACTTGCATTAATTTTGCAAAATGCAGGAAATTTACCATCAGTTATTGGTGATCATGTGGTTGACACTAGAATTAAGCTGTAACAGTTTGCAGCACAGCTTTGTTTGCACACTGGTTGGTTGATAAAATCATTTTAAAATCCAGAACTATGACTTTAACTGTAATTATGAATCCGTTTTACTAGGTTGACAGTGATACAATTTGGAATGAAGTCCATTCATTCAGTGCTGCTCGCCTTGCTGTTGGATGTGTCATAGAGCTTGTTTTTAAAGTAGCTACAGGAGAACTGAAGGTAAGTATAATACCAGTACTCGTATTAAAAGGGCTTAATTCTTAATGACTTTCATAGGGCAGTAATATTACTGGAATCATTACAACACATTGCACTCCACTCTCTTATAAGTACATTATGACTGCAAGTCACACTTTTATGACTTTGAGATTGACTGGTGTTATGTGCTGTACATGCACTAAGGTGTCCTTAAAGAATATCTGAAAAATGCAGGTGCAAGTGGTGCAAGACACTGGTACCATTCACCATTTGCTTTCACTGGTTAGTAATATGTTTTGAGCTGAGTGCAAACTGCTAATTCTATCTCTACACTGTTTTTATGTAGAATTCACTCTAGTCCAGGAGAAATATCTTGCCATGGATGCCTGTACTAGAAACCTGCTGTACTCATACATCCCTGTGCTGCTGGGATATGGCAAGTAGCCTAATCCCATTTTAGCTAAATTTATAACCATCACTGCAGTTTTTGGCAGAATATTCCATAAAATGATTGTGTACTGTGAAACATGTACTTTTACTTACTCTTATTCTGCCACCAGTCAGTTCATTAAGTCATCACTGATCCCTAAGAGGACTTTTGTTATCCCATGCCTGCTAAGTTTACTTCGAGAAGACTATGTAGAACCATTTCTGGAGAGTTACAGATCTTCAGTGTCCACTCAATAAATCAGAGGTTTAGTCATCTGGCTGCAGGACCAGCAATTGGGAGTTCAGTTCCCCACTCCGCCTCCTGATCACAGGGCTAGACTCGATGATCTATAGGATCCCTTCCAGCTCTCCAGTTCTAAGATGGTTCTAAGATGATTTGGTAGAAAACTGCCTTAGTCTTGGACCATTGGTCCATCTAACACAATGGTTCTTAACCTTTTTGAAAGAAACGCCCCCTTGAGCCATTGAGGAAGTTATCATCGCCCCCCTCCCTGAGGTGATATCTTACCTACCTACCTCCCTACCTACCTACCTACCTACCTTGTCTCCCTCCCCCCCCGGGTGCGAGGCAGCGCTTCACGGGGTGAGGATGAGGACCCAAGAGCCCCTTTCCTTCCACCCGATCCACACTCAGTGCTCCCATAAAGGAGAAAGGCGAGATGTGGCAGGTAGAAAGAGCTGGATCATCTGGCGGCGGCAGCAGCACCAGATCTACTGCCAGCACTGCGGCTGCAGTCGCCTTCACAGGTTTGGCCCGCTCCAGTGCCCCGTACCGCCCCCTTGTGTTCTTTTGCCCCCCCACTGCCCCTTTTCGTTCTACCGCCCCCCTGAAAAATGAAAGCGCTCCCCCGGGGGCATTATTGCCCACGTTAAGAACCACTGATCTAACATAAAGATGGGCAGAAAACAGAGGATATTGATAGATCTCTTGAGTAATTTGCAATAGATTGGAAAGGAATTTTTACTCTTTTTTTTAATCAACAAGAACAACAAATGAGTCTTCATCTACCCAGTACCAATTAAAATTATACTGGCAAGATAGTTGAGGTAATCAAGAGATTGTAGTTCTTGCTGCTGCTGTTCTTGCTGTTGTTGAAGGACCCAAAATTGAGTTTGGTAGTTGAAACAAATGTTTGGTCTCTATGAATTCTTTATTTCTGGTGTGCCTCTTTGTTGTTGTTACTGGTTTTTTTCCCCTCTCTAGGATCTGGTTAGTCATTTTTGAGATTGTAATGAAAAATAAGTAGATCTTATGTGTCTAAAAGGTTATTTGTGTTTATTTTACAAGCATACATCCCACCTATTTTCCTGAAAGTGAACTCAAGGCAGTGCACAAACAGCAGTATTGGAAACACCCATAAACATCTAAATAAACAAGAACAATCGTGTGATGTAAAACAATTAAACCAAGGGTCAGAAACATGCTAAAGCCGTCGACAGTACAGTGGTGCCCCGCATGACGATGATAAACCATCCCATTGAAATTGCTGTTTAGCGAAAACATTGTCTAGTGAAAACTGTTTCCCCTTTGGAATGCATTGAAACCCGTTTAATGCGTTCCAGTGGGGAAAAATCCTCATCATTCTGTGAAGATCGCCCATAGGGAAGCCATTTTGCGAAGCACCAATCAGCTGTTAAAATGGCTGCCCTGCGAAGCATCGGTCCCAAAAACACTCGATTGTGAAGTGCCGATCAGTGGCAAAATCGTCGTCTTGCGAAAATCGGTTTACGAAGCAGGGACCCAAACATCGTCCAGTGAAAATCGCCCATTGGAATCACTGTTTTGCGAATCGCTATAGCGATTGCAAAACCTCACAGTCATGCGGATTTGTCGTTTTGCGAGGTCGTCATCTAGCAAGGTACCACTGTATGCCTTTTCAAAAGACCTAATTCATGCTTTATAAAAAGATACAGAGTTGTAAACTGACAGAGCTCTGTGGGCACCATGTTCCTAATGCTAATGAAACAGGACTTCTTCATTGTGATCTCTGCATTCACACTGCTCAGTCGGACCCTCCACAGAGCCAACCTTTTCAGAGTCTTCTAGACTGAGAGTTTTCAGTTGTTGTATCTGTCCTCTATAATGCACGCTCAAACATGCTTATCTCTCTTGAGAACTTACTTCAGTTGATGAGACCATTATTGTTCTACTGTTGTACTTGTGCTTTGTGGTTTGTATTTGTAATGTTTATTTTTTAAAATTAGTAGTTAAACAGATTCTTTTCCTCAAATTGTTTGAGTTTAAATTTGTAAAATTTGTTTGGCTTTTTGGGCCCAAAACACAGAAAAACAGGCCTGTGAGGTTTAATGATGTGAGCATCAAATAGTATGCAGGCAGAATGGAAATAATTGGTAGATCACCCTAGATCCTACAGCTCCTGTTGCCTGCAGTCCCCTGTATCATAATGGCCCTCTCTGCATCATAAGCGGTTGCAACCTAGCACTTTAAAGCTCCAAGTATTGACTGTGGCACCAAAGAAGAAGGCCCATTTAGCAGCAACAGCAACAACATTGAAGAAGGTAGTCAAGTCAAAGATGTAAAGTTCTCAAGACTAACCTGCAAAAAAGCAGCATTTGGCTGCAGGCCACCACCCAAGTCCCCCCTGATGTGCCCTCCTAAAGGTCTATTGAAGGGATATAAGAGGGTGAAATTTGAGAGGAGGAGCTCCACACTGTCACCACAGACACTACTCAAGATCTCTCAGATGATATTTATTAATTTAATTTATATACTGCCACTTTAGTGCAATGCATTACTCTGGGGTGGTTTACAGACAGACATAAATCACTCTCATATTGGTACCAGTCTGTACATTGTGAACACTACTGATGCTTGACAAGCTAATCACTATATGACTGAAGGTCTGAAAGACACCAGTCTTCATGAGGTGTCACCATTGGCTTTGACACCACCCACAACACCGATAATCAAGCCGAGGTTGGTATTGGTGATGCCTCCAGCTGTTACAGCGTATTCTGCCTTTAGCATACCTACCCTCTTAGTACTGACAGCTGTCCTAATGTAATCTTTAGTATCAGAAACATACCCAGACTTATGTTCCATGACAACTCAGCTGGTTTCAACATCAGCCGTTCAAGTCTCCTCATAGGTACCGTTCTCCATATTGTTGCCAGCTCCTCTGCCACAATGTGTTATATAAGCAAGCAGTGTGGCATCAGATCCAGAGCGATGATAGTCCTGAGACTGTATCACTGGTATTATAGTGGAGGACAAGCAGATCAAAAGTCTCTAAAGGATGCCCTGTGACAGTCTTGGAAAGTTGAGAGCCTCTGCATATTCCCACCATTTCCTATACTAACCAGGGTTGTGACAAAGCATTACGGTGGGAGACCCCAGAGGTATTGACATTACCATGGTGGCCTCAACAGTCTTGATTTCCTTTGTTGCTCAAACTCATTCACAGAGTTTTCTACAGGCTCCCTCCCTGGTCAGATGGCATTTCCAAGCTTGTGGGACAAATGTTTCAATCTTCTGTCCATACCCTGCATCTCATGACACAGAGAATGTGGCTCAGAACAGGATTATTGCCATCTCACAAGATTCCAGGTTACAGTTTTCATTCAGGTTACTGACTTAGGTTTCTCGTTCATCAGAGTTTATCTGTCAACTGGTTGACCTGCTTGACATCATTGGAAGAGGCCTATACCACCTCATTCATTATAATAGAAACTGAAAAGTTTCTGAAAGGAGTACAACATATGCTTCCAGCTCTTGCCACACTATTACCATTTTGGAGCATTTCACCAACCTTGCTCCAAATTATAAAGTCTTATTTTGAGCCTATGGCCACTGCACCTTTGAAACTGTTGACACCAAATAAAGGTTTTTGTGTGGCTATTACATCTGCCTGAAGGGCTGGGGAGATTTGTGCTTTATGAGTGGGCAAACCTTCTTTCCATTGGTTTTGAAACAAAGTGATACTCTGACCAGATATCTTGTCAGATATATGTTGGATTTCCACTTTTGCAGGACATTGTGATTTTGGTTTTCTTTCCAGCTCCCTCAACACTGTTAGAACATATTTTCATATGCTTCACATACAAAGAGCCCTTGGCTTTTATATTCAGAAGAAAGCTACAATTAGACAACTGTCACAGATTTTCCTAGCATTCTATGGGCATAGGAAGGTATTGCAGATCATTCAGCTCCATTAGTACTCTTGCTCAACCAGACGTTGTCAGGGCAAGTTGCACACCTCCCAGTTTTCTCCTTGGCATGAAGGCATGTGCACAACCTCTCTCTGCAGTGACATGCAGGTGAAGATGCATGCCACCTCTGCAGAGATTACTTGGCAACCTGGTGATGTTGAAGGAGCAACAAACAGTAGGAGGGCAGGGAACCAGGAACTATAAAAGGGAAAGGGAGCAGGAGTTGTGGTGGGGATGGACAGATAGACACAAAAGTCAGGAGGAGAGAGGGAGTCACTAAAGACAGGAGGAAAGACAGAGGCCAGGGGATACAAACAGAGGCTGAGGACAGGAAGAGATAGGGCCAAAGTGGGGAGAAATGATTGTAGCAGTGGAGGATTAAGAGGAGAGAAGAAGGGATAGAAAGCCAAAGGAGGTTTGGGGAAGAAAAATACATGGAGGAGAGTTGGGGGCAAGAACAGGATGGGAAATCATTCTAGAGCAGGGCCCATCTCCCCCTGCAGGACAATCTATCTGGTGAGCTGGCTCTTTAGAAAACAAGCAGGCCCTCTGAAGAAGGTAGGGTTAAGACAGAGGAACTGGGGAGAATTAGATACCCCGTGGCATGGGACAATGGCAGACTTAGACTGGAATCTGAGCGCTGTATTCTCCATTGGGTGGGGATCAATTTCTCCTTTATCTGGCTGATTATGCTGCATGAGCCCACGGTCTGGGGCCACCCCTGAATTGTTCTATTCCCTTTCTGTGGAGGTCAAAGCATCATCTACTCAACATTGAGGGTTAGGACCCAACTGGAATCACAGACAAACAAGATGGGATACAGCCATACCAATGCTAGAATACCAGGCTACAGCATTTCCTTGTTATGACTAGAAACCTACCTCACAGGGCCATCTTCACCAAACCTAACCTTTAACCACTGAAAAGCACCAGAGGGCATGTAAGACTGGTCCTTGGCTGGACCCTAGGCTTGTACTTAATTCATATCACCAGACACCTAGATCTTTGTGTTAGAACCTGCAAATACTTACCTGAGCCTGAGGGAGAGTACTCTGTACAGTAACTATGCCAAGATGCCTCTCACACCAAAGACCTGCCCTGAATGCACCCAGCCCGCCATTAGTACCTGAGGCTAGCTTATGTGCCATCAAGTCAAAACCAATTTTAAGCAACCCTAGTAGGGATTTTAAGGCAAGTGAGATGTTTAAGGAGTAGCTTTTACCATGCCACTAGTGAATTTCCATGGCTGAGTGGGGATTTGAACCCATGCTTCTCAGTCCTAGTCCATCACTCTATCTGTTAATGAAAGCAGGGTGTTCTCAGCTTATGTACTGAGGACAGTGTTACTAAGGGGACCAAAGGGCAATTGCAGTGAAGAAGAGCAGCCGTTGATGACAAGGCTGTGGAGTGAACATATCTTTTGTGAATAAAGAGCAACCCTGAAGAGTCGTACAGAGCGATGTCTGCTTGTAACATGACCACAGACTGTTACAGTTTTGGGGGCAAAATGGACAAGGTACGGGGTGTTGCACATGGGACAGCCTGTCTACCCAACAGCTTACTAAATAAATTGTAAGGTTGTTACTGTGACATGCCAATGTACCAGTTGTATGCAGAGCAGCAGTCTAATCTCAGCCAGTCTTCACATGGTACTTCTGTTAAGACAGAGTGCAGAATGTCACATCCTTTAGGAGGGTGCAGTAGTTCTCCCTGTGCTGCTCCAATAATAGAGGTGCCTGTCCTGTTGCTTGAGCACCTTTGTGCTGGTGATTAGTTTTCCAGTCTTTGACCATCAGTGTGAATGCATAGGGACTATGACAAAGGAAAACAGGTTTCTACTTCTAATTTTTGTTCTTCAAGCAATCTTCTATGCTTTGATGTGACTTACGCATCACATCAAAGCATAGAAGATTGCACCTGTAGCCAAATAACTTTTGCCACTATGTCATCCAAAATAGATAAACTGAATAAGAAGCAGACCTGAGCATGTATTATAGAGTGAAGGGAGGAGACCACTAGTCAAAAACTGTCAGTCTAGAAGATTCCGAGAAGGGGGTTTTCCGCACAGACACAAACCCAAAATTGTGAATACCTAGAAAGCCCTAGAAAAAGCAACATTACAGGAAGCAATCTGTTTGTATGTTTGTGGAAACTATACTGGTAATTCTTACAGCATTTTTAAAAATGTGGTAGCAGATGTTACCGTTAGTAATGGGTTGGGCACTGGTCTCCCTTTTTTAAAAAAAATAAACTGAGATCAGTGTCATCAAGAAACAGCACTTTTCCCTTGGTGACCTTTGTTTTGGAAACGGAACAGATTGTTCCTTGTTATAGTACAAGCACACCAACAAGCTATTACCTGTTCACATGTATTGTATGTGTTACCAAAGTAAATATGGAAATATCTTAATACTTTTTTCTAATTCTTGCAAGTCTGTCTCATTTTTTAAAATGGTTATAGAAGGTAGGGAAGGCATTTTGAGTGGCCCCCAGCAGCCATGGGCTACCAAATTATAACAGTAACAACAACAACAACAACAACAACAACAACAACAACAACAACAACAACCATTTTAGTGACCTTTTACAAAAGTCAAAATAATATAAATCTGTTGTCAAAATAATATATATAAATAAATCTGTTGCCTATTATAACCCTCTCCTTTCAGCCTGTCCTGTCCCTGTTCAGCCCTCCTTAAGATTGCAGCCCTGTAACTGCTGGCAGATCTGAAAAATGGTTGTCAGCTCTGCTGGGATAATCTGTCTTTGTATAAAGTATCATTTTTACTAGATTTCAGCAGCATTCCTAAAACTTTTTCTTCTTAAAAAGCCTGTCAGTGGTCATGTAAGTACATATGATTCTTCTTTAAATATCCAAAGATAATTTTGTATGTACTTTTAAAAATATGAAACTTTAATGTGCTTCTTTATTTTTTCAGCTGGCTCTTCCACAAACTAGAATTTACCTGCAAAGAAAAATTGTGCTTACTGTTTTGTAGCTCTGCTACAGTTAAGATTCTTGAATGCTGTATTGTCTTTTCCTCTAATCTTGAAACTTTTTTTGTTTCATTGTGCTAGAATGGATTTGCTGTAGTGCGACCTCCTGGTCACCATGCTGAAGAAAGTACACCCATGTAAGTGTTTGTGCTTTGATTGCATAATTTATCTGTTAGATCATTTAATGAAGAAAAACAGTTGTATGATACCATCTTGGGAAATATGACCTGTTGTAATTGAATGCTTTCTTACTGTCAGCTGATTTACAAAGACATTGAATTTTGAAAGATTTGTAGTCTGCAAGATTTGTAGTGTGATAATTTCCATGTGCTTGTTTTGAAAGGAATTGTCATTTTGATGCAGTACGTACATCATGACTATGACTAGAGCAACCTGATACTATATTTCTGATGAGAAGTATGCAGCTCTGGTTGTTATTCACATCTGAGACAAGTTGTAAAATCTTCTCACACCAACATTAATCTAAATGTTTTGACCTTGATGGCCTAAATGGATTTTGTTGAAATTCCAGTTGAAAATTGATTCTGAAGATTTATTCTAAATTAGAAAAGGGATTTTATAATACATTTCATGAAATTCTTATACAGTATGTCTAGTTTTCTCAAGTTCTGTAAAATTCCTTACTACATACCATGACCAAAGAACTCATTCTGGGTGGTGTTTATTCATCAACAGTTGTGACTTCAAATAGTTTTTTCAGTATAGATGTATTGGCAAAATATGCTCTTTACCTGACCTCATTTCTGGTTGACTTTTACCTTGGGCTCTTAAAGCTTCCTGTGTTACTTTTTCTGTATGTTCGAAGTAAAGCAAAGTGTGCTGCTTATATATTGTCCCGTAGCACTTAAAGCATTCTCTGAGATGATTACAACTTAATTGTGCAGGCTACACATTTCCTCTCCCCCCCCCCACTGGTATTCATTTTACTGACCTCAGAAGGATGGAAGATTGAGTAAACCTTGAGCCAGCTACCTAGGGATTGAACCCCAGGTTGTGAGCAGAGTTTTGGTTGCCGTACAACAGTTTAATCACTGTATCATGTGGTTCATATTTATGTATGGTCAGAAGTCCAGAGTCCCATGCACCTGCTCATTAGGGCTTCTAGTTGTTTGATGAAGAGGAGTCGGCAGCTTTCAAAGATTTTAATGTATTCGCAAAGGCGAATTTCAAAGATTTTATTTACAGCATAGTTGAGAAAATGGAAGAAAACAAGTGAGTGTATTCTCAAAAAAGCATTGAGGGGAAGCGTTGTCTTTCTTCCAAGTCCTCTATGCTTAAAGGCAGAGGCAGGTTTCCACTATTTCTTTTTCTTTGTAGAAATCCCTATTCAAGTGAGCAAAGACTCTGCTTCTCCCTTAAACACTACTGTAATTATCACAGAGGGTTTGGAAAAGAAGTGGGTTTTTTTTTCAACCCTTACAAATTTTACACCAAACCTGACAGCTGTAGCTGTCTAAGTACGTATATGACTGTGTTAAACATCTAGATATGAGAATTGCCTGTGGATGATGAAATGAAAAAAAAATGAACTAGGTTATTTGGTGCAACATCTCTCAGAAGAATTTGTAGTTATATTATAACCCACCTTAGGTTTATTAGTGATCCTCTTTTGTATATTGACCATATAGATCACTAAAAAGAACCCATCTTTTCCTCTGCCTGCCAGCTTCTCTTGTCTGTTCACCCCCATTCAATTAATTTTCTCTTTCCCCTTCTATGCAGAGATGTCCTATGTTATGACTGTATGCTTTGGTTGATGCAGGCAAATGCATGAGGTTTCCTGCACTTAGCAAAGTGTACTATGAAAGGAAAACAGCACTGAAGTCAGGCAAAAATAAACCTTGATTATGACTATGAAGTGAAAAGCAGTATCTGTTGTTTAAATTATATATCAGTTTTATGTTGCCCATTATGCATATAATGGGAAATTTAAATACAGTGTTCAACATTACACCATTACAGAGTGATAGAATTAGGAATTTGTTTGGTTTTGGGAATTACTTGTTTTTGCTGAATAAGAGCAAATATTTCAAGCCATGACAGGACATAATTTCATACGGGCACCAGGTTTTTGCTCTTACCTACATACTTGAGCAAATCCATAGAATTTTTGAATTGATTATCTGTAATTCATTCAACAAAAGTTGTTCAGATCATTGTGACTGCAGGCTGACTGCTGGGATTGGACTTGAAGAAACCATTTTATAATGGTTATCCAATTTTAGGAGGTGGTATTTGGGACTTCCGTTAGATGCCTAGACCTGTGATTCTTTGAGTTCTGTCTTGGCTCCCACCCCCAGGATTTAACATATACTGTATATGCAAGCATGGGAGAGGTCTTGGGACTTTTCATTATCTCTTGTGCCCTATGCCTCAAAGAAGCTGTTCAAGTCCTAAATCCATTTAATATTTATAATGGACTGGAAGATCAAAGACAAGCCAGAGGTGTACCTGCTCATTCAGAAGGCAGATCATTGAATACAGATTCAGATTGTATTTGATGGGATTATGTTCCCCTTGAAGACTTAGGCTCTTCTTAATGGTCTGTATGAATTGTACTACTGAGTCTTATACCTGTGCAAAATCTCATTTGAAACTTCTAGAGCTGAGCAGATTTGGGGGAAAACCTGCCCCATCCTTTATGGCATCTGGATTCAACCTAATGCCTTTCTCTCAGTTTGTTTTTGTCTGCCACACTAGCATCATCATAAGGAAATATTTGGAATGACTTTTCATTGAGTGCTTTTGCCTTCACCTTTTCTTTTGACATTTTCAAGTAGTTTTTGTTGTAGTTTAATGTTCATATTTAAAAATAAATAAAAGAGTTTAATATTATTTTTCTTCGTTGTTTTGTAGCCTCTCCAACCATTTTCAAAAAGCATGTTGCTTCTGTGGGGAAGATAGACCCCTTATACCAGCATGCAGCAGTGTACCATTTATCAGGGTTTCATGAGGTTAGTCTCAAAATAGAGAATCCATGTTAAAATTATTATCTTGAGAAGTCATCTCTGAAAGCTGCAGATTTAGCTGCCTCAATTCAGCCACTGGATACTCTGTTTGTAAGGCTCAATTGAAGAAAATGTTGCTGGGCACTTGCTTCATTGACTTCATCTGAACATTTAGTATCTGAGTCAGTTTCAGAGGCTCTTTTGATATTGACTGTCCTTTATATATATATCGACAGCATACTTGATCTCATAGTATCCTTCCAAGTTGAGAGGTCTGAGGCATCTAAGACTTTTGGTGCTCTGTAGAATACTTTGTTCCTTTCTTTTGCATTCAGTTGTGAGCATTCCGTAGATCTGAGCACACTGATTCTGACATTCTGTTGTTCTAGTTGATCAAGTTGTGGAACTGATAATCATAGATACTATTCTAGATCCCCATTTCATTATGTGATATACAAAAGATGCTGTGTTGACACCTGGAGTATTGCTTACAGTTCTGGCTGCCGCATCTCAAAAAAGACATTGTGGAACTCGAAAAGGTGCAGAAGAGAGTGACTAATATGATGACTGGGCTGGGGCACCTCCCTTATGAGGAAAGGCTACAGTGTTTGGGGCTCTTCAGTCTAGAGAAAAGGCACCAGAGGGGGACATGATTGAGATGTATAAAATTATTCAGGAGATGGATAAAGTGCATAGAGGGAATTCTTTTCCCTCTCATGCAATACCAAAACCAGGGGACATCCCCTCAGATTGAGTGTTGGGAGAGTGATGACAGACAAAAGAAAATATTTCTTTACCTAGCGTGTTGTTAGTCTGTGGAACTCCTTTCCACAGGACTTGGTGATGGCATCTGCCCTAGATGCCTTTAAAAGGAGGTTGGACAGATTCCTGGAGGAAAAGTCCATTGCAGGTTACAAGCCATGATGGGAATATATAATCTCCATGTTTAAAAGTAATGTACCTCAAAATGCCAGATGCAGGGGAGGGGTATCAGGAGACAGCTATCTAGTTGTCTCATGTGCTCCCAGAGGCATCTGATGGGGCCCCTGTGAGATACAGGAAGTTGGACTAGATGGGCCCTTGGCCTGATCCATCAGGGCTCTTCTTCTGTTCTTATGATTCATGGCATGCCTCACCTTCACATTACGGTGAACCACATCATCATCAATCCTGGAATGATTGGCTTTCACCACAAACAGCCTGAACTGAAGGAATTGATACGTAGTACTGCAAGAGTTGACTCGTCATCCACTGTTAAGTGAAATTGTGGGTATTGATCCAGTGGATACGGGGGGTACTACCGTACTGTGATTGCAACTGAAATATATTTCCTCATTTAAATTGTCTTCATTAAGACATTTATTACATGCTGGCATAGAATGAACATTGATACAAACCATCAGCAACTGTTCTGAAGGCTGTGCTTCTGCATTTTGCTTATTCTGATTCTTTGCATTTATATGCAAATCTCTTTGTTGTTTTTTATGTACCACCTGCCTTGGAGCCAATAATGGTTTCTTCATTTATATCATAATGTTTAACATCATTGATGCTCTGACAGGTCTCTCATTCTACATTTTTGGGGGCTGCAAGGTAAATCTCCTTCTGCAGCTTCACTTGTCTTGAATTTGGCTTAGACATGAGCTATACCATGTGCCATTTCCAAGATCCTTATTTCAGTATCTGACACACATTTATAGGATAAGCTTCCTCTTTCAGTACTGATGATTCCTTCTCTATACTAGCTTCTCCATCTTTTGTCACTAGATCCTCAGGTGGAGTTGCATTCCTGCATCAGTAGTTTCTGCAGGTCTTGTATGTCATATCTTCTTTTCTGGTTGTTCCTCAGAACTAGAAAAGCTCAGAGAGCACAGGGCTGATGCTGCTTTGCTGAATCCATGGTGGCCACGACACTGTACTTTGCCATGTTAGATCACTTTGTCACAAATTCTTCAGGTTTGCAACTAAATTGTAGGCTTTGATAGACTAAAGGACAGATTTGCCATCTAGATATCGACATTCTGAGGATAATAGTTTGGATAATTTGTCCTTATTAATTTTGAAGTCCTTCGTGTATTAGAGTCTTTCAGGAGGCACTGTATTCAACAACATTCATACGCTTATAAATGGAGAAAGTTAGATAATTATGCAAGTTCTCATTTTCCCCCTTGGTTGTACTTCAGCAGGACATAAACTTCTGGCTTTAATTATTTTTTTACTCCACATTACCCAAGATATTGTACTTGCAACTTTCTTTGTAGCACACACGACTCCTGTGGATGCATCTTACATTCATTCATCATTTGTCGAGCCTTGGCCTTTAAATTTCAGAAACCCACAAAAAGTATTCCTCTGTTATCATAAATGAAGGAAAGGCAGTCCTGTGTTCAGTTAATGTTTTGCCAAATAGGTTATAGCAACAATTTTGTTGGTTTATCAGTTACCTTGGTTATCAGTTCCAGACAATATTGGTTGTCACTTCACAACACCACTGTCTTTCTCCACTGCCTTTGTTAGCAGAGTTGCTCTTTTGAATATTTGCAAAGGAGTGATGCGGTCCTATGCATTGATATTGTGAGCCACGGCAAGCTGGAGGCATAGGTGCAGGTGGATGCTTTTTTTGACTGTTCTGTCATTCGTTTCGGCATTATGTTCACCTAGTTGTGTGGTTCATATAAGCCATTCAGAAGGATAGATTGCATGCCTGTAACTGTGGCTCTTCAAGTGGCCATTTGTGAAATCACACAACTGACTTTTCTCCCAACTGTCCATCACAATTTTTTTCCTTAAGTGCTGTGGACCAGAACTGTAGGAAGGCTATTAGGGTGAGCCTTGACACATGCGATAAGGAGTAAGGCCAGGGTTCCTGCTAAAAACTGTTGAATTCTAGAAGTTTCCAAATAAGGCTTCATGCAGGTACAAGACTCAGTTTCACGGACAGTGACCTGAAGATCCACAGAGACAGGAAAACAAGCTGTCTTTTTCAGCTTGGATTCACTCCCAAAACTCGATGGTGAAATAACCTTGGCCATTGTTTTTTTTTTTATGAGAAAGCAGAATATAAGTGTTAGAAATCAATCAACAGATAATTCATCAATACAATAAAAGCACAATGTTAGTTCTATATTAAAATTGTCAAAAGTATAAAGTATATGTACAATTTCTCTTATGTCCCACCTTTTTGCAAAGCTGTTTGTTTTGCAAATTTTATGTTTGATGCAGTTAGCTGTTTTTGGCAAGGAGTGGCGTAGTGGCAAGAGGAACAGTGTGACTGATAGAGAGAGGAGCGATAAATGAGGTGAAAGCTGTGCTGTTGATTTACTTGTATAACCTTTTAAACATATGTTGGTGTTTCTGAGCATTTTATTCTGCCATGATCATTTTTAAATTTGGTCCGCTTTTTCTTATATGAGAACATATTATCCATATAGGAAAGATAATACAAATTAATAAATGATCACCAAAATATTGCTGCCACACTGATTTTGGTAGTTTTTTGGCTGTTACTCCAAAATGAAATATTTCGCTTATTCAGGAAAAATTGCCCTTCTTTTGAATAGATTCTCTTTGCTCTTTTTAACATGTGCATGTAAGAAGATACGTTAGCTACAGTATGTGTAGTGTTGTAATACCATGATATTTACTAGGTGGTATTTGATTGGCTTTAATCACTCCAGGAAGGAGAAAAACGTGTCAAAACAACAGCAAACAGGGGGAACACATCAACTGAAACAAGAATAAAACACACTGTTAATTATGCTATGGTCCTCCCTGAAAAAATAATTTAACCCCTTACCAAAAGCAGTTCTTTTGAAATGCGTGATCAATTGGAGAATATTTTTCACAGATTAACTAATAGTTTGTACAGTAAATAACTCATACTACTGCTTCCAAATTAGTGAAATATCTGAATGAAAGCTATCTATTCCCTCATTTTGGAGTAGCTGCAAATACAGAGCATAAAATGTCATTGCTTTTGTAAAACGTCTGGTATTGGGGTTTGGAAGTACTTCATTTACATCTAGCGTATTCCATTATCTTTCAGGGGTTTTTGCTATTTTAATTCTGTGGCAATTTCAGCCAAGCTTCTCCAGCAAAGACTGAATGTGAACAAAATCCTTATAGTGGACTGGGTGAGTCAAACCGCTTGATTTAAAATGTGTCCCCTTCTCCCCCAGTACAAATGCAAAATGCAGTAACCCTGTCAACAAGTTCAGGAACACTATCAGCAAAAATGCCACCACTGAATCTCAACTTGTATTAACCACTCCTGGATAGCTGAATAGCTCAGTGGTTTAGATATCTGGCTGCGGAGCCAGAGGTGGGAAGGTGGATTTCCCACTGTGTCTCCTTGACAAGGGCTGGACTTGATGATGCATAGGGTCCCTTCCAGTTGTGCAGTTCTAATCTTCTAAGGTTAAAACTGTTGACTCAGATCCTAAATGCATTTGAACTGACCAGGTTTTTTGGAAAGGGGATTTAAAACATTAACCACCTGTGCTGGCCATCACCAGTTCAGAATTTCTGATTTAAGTCTGGGTTCCAGGACTTCAGTCTGGAACCTTTGATAACAAAAAGGAAAAAATCTTGACTAATAGCATTCTTAAGATAGGAAGCAGAATACCACAGCAGCTATACAAGAAGCTAAGCAAATAATTCAGCAATAGGGTTGTGTTAATAATAATTGCATACCATAAAGTCAATTCTTATTTATGGTGACCCTTTCCAGAGTTGTCTAAGTGGAGAATACATAGAAGTAGTCTACCATTCCCTTTTTCTGTGGGCACTGTGGGTCTGTGCAGCTTGCCCAAGACCATACAGGCTGGCTCTTCTCCCTGTGAAGGCATAGCGGAGAGTCAAACTCCCAGCCACTGGCTCACTGAGTTAACCAGCTAGCACTATACACAGGTATCCTCAACTTTCCATGCTCAGATTGACTGCCCACTGTATATCATAAACCTGTGAAGCCATTTAGTTTACCAGACTTCTAAGCAGAGTCAAGAGTAAAACCTGGCAGTTCAACATCCCTGTATCTGTGGAAGCTGTTCTGCTGTTTCAATCCTGTACCATAAAACCTCAAAAGACCTAAGGTGTACCTCCTGTTTTTTCACAAAACAAACTTACTGCATTGCATTTGCTTTGTAACTGAACCATCAGACCCTCTCAAGCCCATCTAGAATTGAAGAACAGTTAACCCCATATGCTCCCATTTGAATGGCACAGGTGACATAGTTAATTGCAAAAAGACAGAGAAAAGTATATCTGAAAGTATCAGAGGGTTGCTCCTTTTCTCCAGTTCCTCACTACATAGAACTCTGTGATTCAGCTGCCTGCACATGCTCCCACTCCATGGCAACTCCTCTAGGTTATGATCAAGCCCCACCAGTTCTTCTGACCACACTCAGTATTTGGAAAGCTGCCTTCCAGAAAGTGAAAGAGGAGGCACTGAACACTTGCCTCTGTAGCTCTGGTAAAGATGCTCTTCTTTTGCAAGCCGATGTGAGATCTTCAGCCCATTTCCATGAAAAGGTACTTGCCATGAAAAAGCAGATAACTGTCTTGAATAATGTTTTGAAAAGTCCTGGCAAACCTCCTTTTTAACACCGTCTGCACATCAGTTGTTTCTATCTGAGGTTTTCCATACCTCTAGTTTCCAGATGTTTCCAGACTGCAGCTGATTTGGTCCCTCATCATTGGCTGTGCTTGCTAAACCTGATGGAAGTAGAGATTGGGCAACATCTGGAGGGCTACAGTTCCCCATCTTTGTCTTGAGGAATCAAGCTGAAAGCTATGATCGTATGTGCCACCTGCATCCATATCTTCAGAAGCCTAGAAGGACAGAATCTATTCATTCATGAAAAATATAGCACTTTTTTCATTCAGACCTTTCTGCTGAATATACCCTCTTCAGTTTATGCCCAGGTTATTGGATCATAAAAAGCGCAAGAGAGATTGCATGGTCTGTAGAAATGTCAAAAAGGATACAAATGTTCAAATAGGTTTCAGCTTTTCCTTTTATCTCAGAAGTGGGTGATGCTCAGAGTTACTGTGTCTCTGTTGATAGAGGACTGGCAGTCCAGATGCAGCCTTCCAAGGTTTTCTGTCTGACTTCCACTATCCAGCTACAGTGGTGCCTCGCTAGACGATGATAATCCGTTCCACTGAAATAGCTGTTTAGCGAAATCATCATCTAGCGAAAAGCATTTCCCCATTGCAATGCATTGAAACCTGTTTAATGTGTTCCAATGGGGAACAGTCGTCCTTGTCTAGCAAAGATCGGCCATAGGAAAGCCACTTTGCGAACCGCTGATCAGCTGTTTAAATAGCTGTCTCGTGAAGCTTAGGTCCCAAAAACACCCGTTTTGTGAGCACGGAGGGAGCTGTCAAAATCGTTGTCTAGCAAAAATTGGTTTGTGAAGCAGGGACCAAACATTGTCCAGTGAAATCCCCCCATAGGAATCACTGTTTTGCATATTGCTATAGCGATCGCAAAAGTCAATGTCTAGCCAAAAAACTGTCATGCGGGTAACTGTCTAGCGAGGCACCACTGTACTTTTTCCCACTGGTCAGTTGTTTGCAAGTCAGTTGAGCAGTGGGGAGGGAAATTTTCACCAACTCATAGAATATCCTTCTTACTCCAATGCTCAACTGATCTTCAGAAGGAGAGATGAAAAGCACAGATGATTGACCATGACTGCAGAGTATTAGTACAGGAACTGCTCAAAGGAAAGGAGGTAATTTTCTCCTTCCAAAGGTAGCTTCTGTACTAGCAACCCTTTTTCTCTGCATTGAAATCAAGAAGTCTGCTTCCAGATTACACACTTCCTCCAGGAGGTGGACAGGGATTGACCAATATGGACAACCCTTCAGACCTCATTGTCTGTAACTGTGATTGTAATTATATGTGTATCTGTATATGTATGAAGTGTGAATGTGAATATGAATTGGTGTCTGTAAATGTTTATCCTGGGAATATTAGTACAAGTGAGTGCTTCCCTTGGAGTGAAAGGCTTGCCACCCATGCTTGAGATCCACCATTTGTGGTCAGATCAAGAATTGTACTGGCTTGGTTTACCAAGATTATAGCTTTGCTGCACAAACTAGTTTTACTATACCCTTCTGGATATCCAAAGGATATTTGTGACACAGTATCTTGGACCATACAAGCTGCCTTTGATGAGATACTGTAAGATCAATGTTATTGCTTCTGCAGATAATTTTGGTACAGATGGGTCATGTACCATATTCTATTATAGATTTATGTTTAGGGACCTGGCCTTGCTATGCCACTTGCTTCTTACCCTCGGATATGAAACAGGTACAGTATTTTTCTATCCTGTCTTCTACCTTACCATTAAACAAAAAAAGTTGGGTTTTTCATCTAAGCTCTGACTAATTAGTAGGAAGATGATTGGTTGACAAAGCACAATATGGAGAGGAGAGAGGTCATTTATGCATAGTGCCTCCATTATCAAAGATTACTGATATTTATTTTACTGTCTTTTCCTCACTGTTGTCTTGTCTGATCTGGTTTTTCCTGTTCTTCATGTTAGCCTTTTTCTGTTTTGCCAGACCATGTATTTATTTTACCGTTTTGTTCATCCTGTAGTCCTCTCCAACTACTGGAGGAGAACTGCTTTGCAGTTGGATGTATGTATATATACTGTATGACTCCAGTTCCACTGCATCCCAGAATTTCCATGTGTTTCATTCAGCAGATAACCACAAAACTTGCCCTGAGAAAGTCTTGTTGAGTGCTCCCATAACATAGTGGCAGAAGGCAGTTTTTGCCACACCCAAGTTTGTTTTCTGTTTGCCATCCTTTGACTCCACACACAGTACGCCAATAATACCTTGACATTGGACTTGGATGTTGCCCTTATGCCAACAATCTCATGTACAATTGAAGCCCCACTCCAAGAGATTATGAGGAATAGAAATGAACATTTGCCTGGAGATCTGTTTCAGTTATATTGGGTCTCCACTTCTAGAAAGAATTTTTTACTTGGGGAAGGCACAACTCATGCTTTGCTCTTCCAATGATTTTAAGTGTATACATGTGCTCTGAGAACGTACCTGGTAACACTAAGGAAAGACCGAAAGAACTGGGCCTTGAGAAAAGAAGACTGAGGGGAGATATGGTAGCACTCATCAAATATTTGAAAGATTGTTGTACAGAAGGGTGGCAGGTTCTGTTCTCAGTCATCACAGGGTGCAGGACACACAATAATGAGCTCATGTTACAGGAAGCCAGATTTCAGTTGAATGTCAGGAAAAATGTCCTAACTGCTAAGGCAGTAGGACTATGGAACTAATTACCTTGAGAGGTGCTTTGTCAATGCTGGAGGCATTCAAGAGAAAATTAGACAACCATCAGTCATATAGACTTTGATTTGGATTCCTGTATTGAGCAGGGAAATGGACTTGATGGCCTTATAAGCTCCTTCCAACTCCTTTATTCTATGATTCTATGATATATATGGTTGGCCCTTTCCCTTCATTCAGAAGACAGTCAAAGTTAACTCATTCTTCTTTACTTTTCTACAGCATAACTGTCCAATCTGCATTTGTTGCAGATTGATGCGTAGGTTGAGAGTATTAATGTGATCAAGGGGTAGTGAGCTAGCACTGCTGGTTGCTCCCTAGATTTGCATAGCTGGTCCCACCCTGACATTCCCATGTTAGGCATGCATGGGTATATGCAAGTAGGAAGCTTAAGTAGATCTCTGCATAGAAGCTTGGACATCCCTGCCTGAATTTTCAACTTCAGGGGGTGCAGTTCTGTCGCAGCTTGATCATGCAATCAATCCTTTATGCAAGTAACACTTGAAAGTCATTGCTGTCATTATAACTGGGAGAAACTTTCCTTTCTCTTAGCTTTTCTGATGATAACCAATATACAGCTGGTATTGTATTAAAGGAGCTTGTTATACTCAGAAATGCTTACACAGTGGTTCTTCTTCTCTGTCTTCTATTGAAAGGGAGTCCTTACCCACTGCTACCCTCAGTGTACCCTTTTTCCCTAGCTAAGCAGAATGAGCTGTCATGAGTCTAACCATTAATGTTGGCTCACTTGTGAACTTTTTTCCTGACACTGCTTTTGAGCACTGATCTCACTGAAATGAATGGGGCTGGTATTTATTTGTTTGTGTACCCTTTCCTCTGTATTAGAGACTTCCCTGTATAGGGCTTTTGCAACATGAATATGAAAAAGTTGTGGTATTACAGTTAGTTTTAGCACAGATGGTTACTCATAATAATACTTTTCATATAAATATAATTTCTATCTCTGAAGGATGTACACCATGGAAATGGTACTCAGCAAGCTTTCTACAGTGATCCGAATGTTCTTTATATTTCACTACATCGCTATGATGATGGAAACTTCTTCCCAGGCAGTGGCGCTCCTGATGAGGTAATATTAATTTAAATAAATGCAGGTTTGCACCATTTGCAATAAGAATTGTTTCACAGCCTTTAAAGTCATTCAAACAATAGCGTTCAAGCAATAACAACCAATAAGACCTCCAGTGATTTCTACCATTTGAAATGCAAGTGATTGTTATTCTCTCCCCACAATCTACATCATTAGTTGTTTGATAGTTATGTCTGAAAATAAAAGTTTATATTTTACTTAGTTTTTCCTACCACCAGAGGGCACCTCCTCCCTGAATAATAGTTTATCTAACCATGGGGGAGGATAGCTATAACAACAGCATGTGGTTTCAAATGAAAGTCAATAATGAGCAGTTCAGCAATTCAGTCTCTGCACAGTTGGCTTGCTCCTGGAGTGAGCAGCCTTGCTTGTCTTGTTGTATCTCTTCCCATTTATTAATGTAAACTCTGAATGAGAGATAGTGGTGACTTATTAAGAAAAGCTTTGGATTCTTTGATACTGTAGTGCTTCTAGAGCCAGAGAATTCTTTCATTGTCAATGCCTTATTTAAGCTGTAGAAAGAGGAAGGAGTCTTTAATCTGTTTTATAAAATTAAGGCTTTTCAAATAAATTCTACATGAAAGAGAAGTAATAAAAAAAGTAATCATATGGCAGACTTTATGTTTTGTTTCTGTTTTCTTTTGTTCCATTTTTGTTTTTGTTATGCACATTTGGTAGGGTCTGTGGTTTGGCTAGGAAATAGTAACTAAAATATTTTTGGATAAATAGTGCCTATAGAAGAAGGTTGACAATGTCAGTTACCTACTCCTTCTCTTCTGTGGCTTGTCTGACTCTTGAGTAAGTTCTGTTGCATGGGGTCTGTTAGACAGAGGGAGGAAGTCTTTCATTACTGATAGTCTCCTGCACCAGTGAAGATATCATCTTTCTGCAGTCATAACATATGCAACAACTTGGAGAGGACCCAGAAACAACAAAAAAGGATTCATGTAGGAAATGGAAGGAAGGCCAGGTTAAAAAGGCAAGTAGCAAAGAATTTCAGGGATGCCATTAGGAAGGCAAAAACTGAGAATGAGCAAAGGTTAGCAAGAGACTTTAAAACCAACAAAATGCATTATTTGGTTATGTGCATAGCAAAAGTCAGAGAAAAGAAACAATGGTTCATCTACTCAATGCTTTATTCCTACTGAAGCCCCATCTTTTTCCCCTGAAAGACAATCTGTGACCCTCCAGGCAAATGTGAAGTACAAAGGGAGGAAACAGGATTGTAGTCAATGAATATCTTATTAGTTTGAATGAGTTCAAATTTCCAGGGCCAAAAAACTTCCATCTAAGAACACTGAAGGAACTGGCTGAGAGATTGCAGAACCACCATCTATTATTTTCTTGAAATCAAGAGGGATGGGTTAAGAGCCAGATGATTTAAGGAGGGCTGATATTTTCCCTGTCTTCAGAAAGGAGAACCCTGGGAACTAGAGACCAGTCAACCAGACATCAATCCTAGGGAAAATTCTGGAGCAGGTTATAAAGGAGCCAGTATGTGAGCCCCTTGAAAATAATGTGGTAATAACTAGAAGCCAGCATGGATTTGTCATGAAAAAATGCTGCCAGGCAATTCTCCCCTTATATTTTGATCAGGTAACCTTCGTGGTGGACAGTGGGAATGCTATAGACATAATACACCTTGACTTCAGCAAAGCCAGAGTGCCCCATGATATTCTGATTAGCAAGCTCATTAGTTGTGTGCTACATAGCTGAAGTGTTAGGTGGATACACAGTTGGTTAAAGAATTGTACTCAGAGAGTGCTTGTAGAAAAAGTTAAAAAAGTACTGCTTATGTACTGCCCCAAAGCACTTAAAGCACTCTCTGGATAGTTTGCAATTTAATTATGCAGGCTACACATCCCCCCTCGGGAGCTGGTACTCATTCTACTGACCTCAGAATGATGGAAGGCTGAGTCAACCTTGAGCAAGCTACCTGAGATTGAATCCAGGTCATGAGCAGAGTTTTGGCTGCAGTACTGCAGCTGAACCACTGCACCACAAGGCTTATCAATGGCTCCTTTTCAAACTGGAAGGAGGTAACAAGTGGGGTACCATAAGGCTCAGTTCTGGGCCAGATGCTCCAACACTCTTATTAATGACTTGGATGAGGAAGTTCAGGGAATACTTATGAAATTTGTATATTACACAAATGAGTTCAGGGAATACTTATGAAATTTGTATATTACACAAAATGGGGTGGAATAGTTAATACCCTGGGAGACAGAAACAAAATCCAAAAAGATTTGGCCTGAAAACCATAGAAATAATTTTATTAAGGACAATTCCAAAGTTCTACACCTGGGGTCATGGCAGGGAACTGAAACACATGGTTATAAGATGAGAGATACTTGGCTCAGTAAAGATACTTATGAAATTTGTATATTACACAAAATGGGGTGGAATAGTTAATACCCTGGGAGACAGAAACAAAATCCAAAAAGATTTGGCCTGAAAACCATAGAAATAATTTTATTAAGGACAATTCCAAAGTTCTACACCTGGGGTCATGGCAGGGAACTGAAACACATGGTTATAAGATGAGAGATACTTGGCTCAGTAAAGCTGTGAGTGCGAAGGATCTTGAAATTCTTGTAAATCACAAACTGAATATGAGCCAACATTTTAGTGTGACTGCAAAAATGGCAAATGCTATTTTAGGCTGAATTAACAGGAGTATAGCCTCCAAATCTTTCGAATTACTTGTCTCCCTCTATTCAGCACTGCTTAGGCATCTTGACTATGGTGTCCAGTTCTGAATATTACATTTTAAGAAGGATCTTGACAAACTGGAACATGTTCAGAGGAGGGCAACAAGGATAATCAGGGGACTGGAAACCAAGCTCTGTGAGGAATAACTGAAAGAACTGGGCATGTTTAGCCTTGAGAGTAGAAGACTGAGGGGAGATATGGTAAATACTTAAAAGATTGTCAAGCATTGGATTCTTTGATACTGTAGTGCTACTGTAGTACAGAGGAGGGTCAGGATCTCTTCTCAGTCATCACAGGGTTCAAGGCATGTAATAATAGGCTCAAGCTACAGGAGCCAGATTTAAGCTGAATATCAGGAAAAACTGAGAGCAGTACAACAGTGGAACCAAATGCCTCAGGAGGTGGTGAGTCCTCCAACTGGAGGTACTCAAGAGGAGGCTAGACAACAATCTGTAAGGTACACTTTGATTTGGATTCCTGCACAGAGCAGGGTGTTTGCCTCAATGGCCTTGTAGGCCCCTTCCAACTCCATTATTCTATGAATAGGATTTTGGATAATACAGATGGAGAAATCGTGTTTTTCTCACGTTTATGTTAAATGACAAGATCAGATGTAGGAAAGCAAGAGACTGTAAAATGTATTGCAAGGAGATATATAAATGCTCTTCTTGATGAATTGTGATAATCCATTATGTTTGTTTCTGTCTTGGTTATGCCGTGCCTCACATATCAGAGTTAACCACTTTCCGTCCCAGAGTTCAGTCACTCTAACTTTGGTTCACACAAAGTTATGTTCTTTTCTTTTTCTTTTTTGTTTTGGGTTGTTTTGTTACCAAACACTTGCATATTTTCTTAGTAAAAGTTGGGTTTTTAAAATAGTTTGTCACTAACATTATTAATTCTGCTCATTAATCCTCAAAGTGCACATGTTGTGTTAGTTTTTTTAAAGGAGTAAGTCCTGCTTTTAAGCCAACAGTTAGAATTGTCTGGCTTAATGGTTTTTCGATATATATTTGTGAGACATAGTTTTTTCTCCTCCTGCATAGATCCCCTCATAAGAAGGTGAGCATATGTGACTGTGGGTTAAGGTTTTTAAATCTTTTGTTAGGACTCTAAAGCTTAAAATGAGATACATTGGCCGGAATCTTGGTGATGATTTACATATGTGTAAGTTAAACTGTGTGACTCACTGTGGCGAATTGCTGCTAACCTCTGAGACACCAGTAGTACTTTCGGGTGTGGGTACATTGTACAGTTGGACTTCTACCATGTAATGTGATTAGTGCCTCATTAGTTAGCAGTAATTTGCTGCAGTATCCTAGACAATTTAACTGTAACCCCTGAATTTTAAAGGTACTGTACAAATATGAGAAGAATTGTGTTCTAATGTGGAAAAAAACACCTAACAGAGTGTCCCCTGGCACCTTAAAGACTAATGGAGCTTTGATGAACTGTAACATTTCTGTTGTTACATTTCACTTACACTGCAAATAGGTCTTGGAGCGGCAGGCTTTTTTTTTTTAAGACAATGCACAGCCTTTTCTACAGTAATTGCTGTATATACTGCATTGTAGCAAAACCAAAAAATCAGTAGTGGCATTATTGAGAAAATACAAGCAGCCCTTTTATGGCAACATTTGCCAAAGCAATGACCTGTTGCTTTCTTTTTTTCTTTTCTTTTCCACCTTTCTTAGGTTGGGATAGGACCAGGTGTCGGTTTCAATGTTAATATAGCATTTACCGGTGGTCTTGATCCACCAATGGGAGATACAGAATATTTGACAGCTTTCAGGTAATTCTCAAATCTGCTTTTTCTAGAGGTGTTTATCTGTAAATAAGATGTGTACCTTTGTAGTCACTATATATATTCTATCTCTGGGTATCTTATTTTCAAAACCAAACTGTAAGAAACTCCTCAACATGTGTAGATGATTTTGTACTGGCAAAGTGTAGAAAGAGACGTACTTTGTATACTCAGTATTAATGAGGACTACTACTCTACATTGATGTATCTGTGTTTTTTTAACTATGTTTTATTAAATCCTGTTCTTCATGGCCTCTGTGAATCATACTATGGGTAATCCACGCATGTGTGGAGCCTCATCGGAATATTCTAGAGCTTCTGCAGTAGCAAAGGAAAATACATTAGCACAGACCCCTAACCCCTGGTATATGTACCTTGGTGCCAAAGATCTCCCTTCAGTTTCTTTCAACCGCCACATTGAGAACCTCAATCGTTGCTTCCGTGAGAAATCAGAAAATGAAAGAAGGAAGGTTATCAAACGTTACTTATTATTATTATCCTTATTATTTTCAAAAGATACGATCCGATCTTAAGGCGAAAGCATCCCCCCCTCCCCAGCTTTCCATTGTTTTCTTTTCTACACCAGTTCTCTGTTCATGGCCATTTCAGGCCCATTTAAAAGCTGCATAGCCTGCGATAACGAGATTCCGTTCTCTGATGGCTACGCTAAATGCCTTTGTTGCCTCGGTGAGGACATCAAACTTCCTCTTCCCCTCACTGCAAAAACTTTAAACGTGGAGTTCTCCACAGTCGCCTCTCTAGACTCTAGACTCAAACTTCAGCTCTGGGAGCAGTCTCTAAAGCCATGGATGAAGCTGTTTCTGAAGTGACAAAACAGCATCCGTCAGTTACTCCATCTCGTTCCAATCATTGACAACCTACTCTGCCCTCGATATCGATGGTCACACAAGTGCACAAAGCCAAACATTCAACGTTGAAACCCTTGACATAGAAAACAGCTTCCTCGGCACTGGAACCGTCACCTCCGAAGAAGGCTAAATCTTTGAAATCGAAGCCTTCCACAACCATTTCCACGACTCCACCACCACCAGGGTCTGGGAACCTCATCTGCGTCGGTTCTTCTTCAGATGAGGCACTTCCACCTCATCAACCTCACCATCACAGTCTCACGAATGGGAACAATATGTTGATCGACTCACGACTTCCCCTGATAGCCCACGACAATTCTCGGGCTCTCTGAGTGAGTCTTCACAACCATGACACTAAACGCAATCAGAAACTGTGCCCCTGTAGGCATACCACCTCAGCCTCTGGCACATCAACGAAGGCACCAAGCCTATATGAGCATTCGCTTGCCTTCTCCCTCAGAAAGATAGCTCAGCACTATCACTGGGATGCCGTTTGCCCCGATCGGTACCTAATGGAGACGCCTGTCAAACACTATTGGCCAGTCGCTCTTCCTGGTCCGGCAGCGCTGCCCCTGCAGGATATATATGCTAGGGAGACTTCGGTGTTGGAGCAATCTTATTACCGTGATCGCCCAGGACTATCTGGCACATCTTATCTGCTGGCACCTAAGAGACCCAACCAAGCTGATCAATACTCCTTGGCTCTGGGCATGTTGCAGCACTGGCAAGTTACTATTTTGCTCTCCATTACGAGGACTGTGAGTACTCATCCCACTCAGCGTCACCAGTGTCTGTTTATTCCACCATAATACAGTGTGGTCCATCGATGCCTTTACCATCTCGGCAGCTGTCTCGACACCAGCAGCAACCTCCATTTTGACACACTTCAATACCGACCCTTTCAATATTGACGTTTCTCTATATCGAATGCTGTCCATGGACGCACCTTCCATGTCGGCAGCAGTTGAAGACCCTCACTATCAACCCCTGGTCATGGATGCACCTTTGACGTCTATACCGATCAAAGACCCTCGCTATCCACCACTGTCCACCGATGCCCATTTCAACATCAACAAGTTGGTGTTGACAAATATTTTGAGGACCAGCTGCTCAGTGTTGATATTGATCGACAGTGGATTGACTCAAGGCATGATGCCGACCCATCTGATCATAGTTCCAGGCCTCAAATGCCATCAAGACTTTTTAACATCACCGGTTTCTGACCTGGCAGACACAGACCCTCCGTCACCAGCAGAGGATTTTCAAACCTATGCTCAACTAATGATTCATATGGCCAAATCCCTCAACCTACAAATCCATAGACCCACTATTGGAGCAGCAGATCATCTTTATGATCCTATCTCTAAAGATACTATCACACCAGTCCATATCTCTATGCTCCCTTCTCTCCTGAGCACAGCTAGACATTCTTGGACCAAACACAGCATCATCTCATTCGGTGTCAAGACGCACAGACAACCTTTATCAAGTACATGACCCGGGCGCAGTCTTTTTACGGAAACAACCAGCTCCCAATTCTATATTTGTCAAAGCTTCACAATCTCGCTCTTGACACAGACAAATACTAATACCACCTAATAAAGACAGCAGACGCATTGACTCCATAAGCAGATAGCTATATTCTTCTGCCACCTTCACCATGAGAGTTGCTAACTATCGGGGAGTTAAGGGTGCCTACCAATGTTTTCTCTGGACAATATGTCTACCTTTATCGATGCTCTCCCCAAAGGTAAAAGGGTCTTAGCACAAACTTTTCAACAAGAGGGTCTTTCGATGGTGAAACAACAGATGCTATCCACTAGACACACATTTGATGCCACACCTAAATCAGTGGCTACCTCTGTAGCATTTCGACGTTTCTCTTGACCGAGGACGTGCATGCGCACATTAAAGATCTCGCATTCAATGGAGTTAGTCTCTTCAATGCCGATTCTGATGACATTCTTGAGAATGTTCAGAAAAGGAGGACAGCTGCCAGGCATTCGGGAGTCTACCCTACATACCAGCAACACCCTCAGCGCAATCAGTGACGCAGCCCTTACACCTCCCATCAAAAATTTCAACAAGAACCTCAATGACAGACATCTTATGTGCCTTACTACAAACAACACCTTACCGAGCCAAACCTTTCTAACAAACCACAATGACACACAATGACCTTAAGCCTAAACATCATGTTTTACATCCAACCAACCAAGAACCCAATACCACCTCCCACCTCTCCTCCTGCCCTTTAGAAACACCTACATTGAAAGACATCACTACAGATTCCTGGGTGCTCTCCATCATAGGAAATGGGTACCACATCAAATTCCACCAGCTTCCCCCACCATCACACCTCCGTCACAAACTCTACAAGAAGAAATACAGTTGTTACTACTCAAAGATGCCATAGAACCAATACTACTACAACACACAGTCATAGGTTTTTTCTTTCGCTATGTCACCATCCCCAAAAGAGATAGAGGCCTTCGTCCCATCCTCGACCTCAGGGAGCTAAATCAATACATCACTACCACCAAGATCCACATGGTTACCCTCGAGTCTGTCCTCCCCTTACTCTGCAGAAAAGACTGGTTCGCAGTCACAGACCTAAGAGATGCCTAGTTTTCATGTCTCCATTCATCCTTCTTATGGGTCCTACCTATGCTTCCAACTCGAACTCAGGCCTACCAGTTCAAAGGACTTCCATTCAGACTCGCAACAGCTCCCCAAGTATTCACCAAATGCATGGACCCTGTGGCAGCTTACCTCACACTTCACAAAATTCACATCTCCCCGTACATCGATGTCTGGCTGCTCATAGCACGCTCCCATCACAAAGCACAACGAGACATTCGCTTCATGTCTCTTCTCCAGGATCTTGCAGTAAATCTACACAAATCCAAGTTAAAACCCACAAGGCTGGTTCATTATATAGGAGCAATTATAGACTCCAAACATGCTCCGGTGTTTCTTCCAACAGACAAATGCCTCAATCTAATCTTGCTACGTTCCTTCACTCCTCATACACTCGTATCTGCTTTAAAAAGCAAAAGCAAAGTGTGCTGCTTATATACCGCCCCATAGTGCTTCAAGCACTCTCTAGGTGGTTTACAAGTTAATTATGCAGGCTATACATTGCCCCCCCCCAGCAAGCTGGGTACTCATTTTAACGACCTCAGAAGGATAGAAGGCTGAGTCAACCTTGAGCCAGCTACCTGGGATTGAACCCCAGGCCGTGAGCACAGTTTTGGCTGCAGTACAGCGGTTTAACCACTGCGCCACGAGGCTCAGTTTTAAGCACTGTGGTGTCCATGACTACTGTGGTTCAGCATGTTTGCCTCAAAATAAGAACTCCAGGCATGGTTCCTAGCCTTGTTGAACCCATTGACAGACTCACCACATATATTGTTGCAAGTCACTCCAGAATTCGCCTCCCAGCTTACATGATGGCACCCTGCTGAGAACCTGACGATGGGATGGCCCTTTCAACAACCCCGCCCACAAACCCAGGTTACTACAGATGCCAGCATTACCGGCTGGGGTGCCTATTGCAAATCTCTGCAAATATACGCCTGGTGGTCACAAAGAGAGAAACTGCTCCATATCAACGAGCTAGAACTCTTAGCAGTAATAAAAGCTTGCAAACCTTTCAGAAACAATGTTGTCAGCAAAATTTTATTGTGACGTAGCAGGCCACTCTGATGTCACCCCCAACTCAGGCCTCTCAGAATGCCCACCACACTACTTCACACTCGCTGCCACCAATTGTAAGGACTATTTAAGAAGGACAAAGGTTTCCTTCAAAACAAAACAGGTTTATTGAGATAACAACATAAAATATGAAAATCACAAGTAGCTAATCACGATGTCAAACACTGTTTCTTATTTTATCAATCACAGACTTTCTCTCACTGAATATGTAGGCACACAGGCCTCTAAACAAGCTCTTTCTCTCTCACACTACAGATCTCTCTGCCTCAGTCTTTCCTCCATTTCTAAGGCCAGTTTCTCTTTTTCTAGCTCCACCTGTCTCAACCTGTATTTTTGTGCTTGAGCTAATTCCAACTTTCTGAGTTCTGCTGTGTCTTCCTTTGAGGAGTTTTCTCTCTCCTG